CGCTAATCTCTAGTTATAGTTACAGAGCAAGGTTGGTTGTCCCATTTCGGTCGAATTGATAGGCAACCGATATGTTTAGTTTCTTTTTCGTTTATTTTGATCCCGTGGCACTCGGTTAATGTATTGTTCCGTTTGATTCGAGGTTTGTGTGTCTGTGTGTGTATTTGTGCGTCCTTCAACGACATAGGCTACACACACAGTCCTAATCCTCTAGTTGGATGTGATGATCCATTACCGGCAGACCCCAACAACTAGAGGATTAGGACTGTGTGACGCACACACACACACACACGCAAAGAACGTGTGTGTTTGTGAGGGCTGTAATTGTAAATTGAGACCTATGAGTAGATAGATTGGGATAACTCGTGTAAAGGGAGAAACTGCTTTTCCCGTTCGATGTGATTGTTCCTTACAATTTAAACGCTTCGCAACTACTTCTGTCTTCTCACGAATCATTGTGTGTATGTGTGTGTGCTGTTCATTGGTACACACTAATGATCTGCGGCCCCGGGTCCCACTCGTTGAGGGATGAATATCTGAGCTATTACGGTTTTAGGCAACACCTAGAGTCGTTCCACAATCCTCTACAAACTTAATACAATGGTGGTTTGAACGAATCAATTGTGATGATGATTATGATGATGAGGTGAGTAACAAATCGATACGGACAACCGATCTTCAAGTTCGGTGATCAATAGGAAAGATAGGTACTTCCTAGGCACAGGTGAACATGGTCGCCTTTCTGAAAATTCTTTTCATTTTCACTCAGTAGGAATTTCAAACCAATCGTGATTGTGGTTGTTGTTGTAGTTGTTGTTGTAATCACTTCTCCATCTAGTCTTGTGAAATCATTTTATTCTGAATTTCTAAACGTTGCTTTTCAATCTGTCCGTCATTGATTGGTGGTGCATTTTGTCATTTTTTGTGCATTCCTTGAATCAGACAAACGATGCATGTGAGATGGGGAGTAAATGATAAGTGTTCAACCCCCTTAGTACAACTGTTTTCGAAGAGTTGCATTTACAGGTCTAATCGAAACTGAAGTAACGGGTCCCTGTGAAACACTTGTCGGTTTGTATAGGCAACAGCATTTATACTGAAGTAA